TATCTGAATTGGTTAGATTTTAGCTTAAAAATATGCTGAAATTGACATATTTTAACAATCCGATCACCCCTTTTTGGGACGAAAACTCCCCTCAGCTTGAATTGATCCCTTTTTGTCATATTCCCTTTATTTTGCCGCAAATCTTTTCAGTTTGCTCGAAACTCTTCTGGTGCAAATCGCTTTGCTCGCGGCCAAATGGCACAGTCCAACTTTCACTCGAGCGGCATGGCCGGACAGGTTGTCAGTTCGGCGGGCGCTGGAAGACACTCGTCGGTTGGGACGTTTGCTGGGCGTCGCCAGTTCGAGAACGCCAAAAACCTGACAACTGGTCCGGTTCCCGGGCGTCGTGGTGGAGGTGGCGGCACAAGCGGCCTTGCAACCGGAACAATGGGACTGACAAACCAGACAGGCAGTTACAGCACGGTTACCAAATCTCAACTGGCTAGTATCCATGCCCGACAGTGGATTCGCTAGCCACTCTGTTCCTCTCCATTTTTGCCCAATCGCCCCGTCCCCGTGCTCTGTCCAGCAACATCGTCGATGCCATCGGTATCAGCATCACTTTCATCGCGATAACCGCCAACGTCACAGTTAACATTTCATTCATCGACACCAACACGGTCAATATCAGAAGCATCATCGCCACTGCTTCAACCAACCTCGCTTGCTTGGCGCCGGCAAGTATCCTAGCATCTCCTCTTGCATAGCACATCTGCTGCGTTGAATGGTTCATCAAGGGCCCTATGCATTACCTTCGCAACCGAGTTTCAATTCATCCATTCGTCCCAGGCTGTTCATTCTCTTTTGCCGAGAATTGGCTATTTTTATCCCCTTTTCTGATAAGCCATGGCCCTGACGAGAGAGCGCGCAGTAATCGCATACACATTTGCTATTATCCTCACAATTGTCAATTCTGGTCAACGCCATGCTACCTTTCTTTTCACTATCTCCAATTTTGTCTGCGATCAGTAGACAAAGAAGGGCTTGAGCAACCACATAATCACATGTAACCATGTATAAACTTTGTCAATTTGCCTATAATTCATACAGCCAGTCAATCCAGGTTTTCAGCCAGAAACCTCGCTTTGACCTTTACATCTTTGCTTTTGGGATCGTTCTCATTTGTATCGTCGCCCGCGTGATTGGATAGCTGGAATTGCATTTTTGGACAGGCCCCATCGGATGGGAGATCATTGCAAACATTCACGCATAAACACACGCATTGCGATGCATGCAGGCACGCATACGCATTTAGGTTTGAATGCCCATCTCTATGCCTAATTGCGTGCCGGCTGTGTCCAAAATATTCTCAAAAGCCTGGCCTTAATCCCACTTGTATTTTCATTCAATATCACTTTTCTGGTTTCTCTTCAACATTCTTCCACAAGGTCGAAAAAAACATATATCTGGAGGATAGTAACAGTGGAGTCGTTTGGTTTTTCTTAAATCCATCCCACTTTTCTTCAATTCAGCCGAAAATGAAGTCCGCTTCGTGTTGGGGCCAAAAGTGTACCATTTGACGTGTGAAGAGAAGCTGGGTATCGAAGAATCTCTTCATAGATTGATAACGGCATACCTTTCATTTCGTTTGAGATGGCGGGTGGAAGGGATTCGTAGTTTGGCCCCGCCGGATACCGAAGGAGGGTTGCCTTGGGCTTTTGTCTGCTCAATTGTGCGAAGAATACCTCGAATCACTGTCCACGACCCCGATGACTTTGGGCTTAGCTTTCGTTCGTCATGTAGGAAAAGCATAAAACAGCCAACCGTAGCATGAAATGAAGATATGAGACCAGGATGGTGTGGCTTTTTGTATGATCGAGGTCGTCTTTCGTTGTATAGGAGTTGCTTGACCTTGTATTCGCAACTTGGTTATATTGGCAGGAAGATATAGAAGAACGCACCTTGTCCGGAGTCCAAAGTATGCATGATCATTTCCAGAGCCGGAACGTGGATTTGGTACATTCCCAGACTTTAATTCGGCATCGTCAGTGAGTCTTGGCATTCTTAGCACCATACTGCAACTCGTCAGAAGGAAGGATGTGGAAACCAGCGGCGAGTGTGAATATGTTTCAAATAAGTTTAGATAAACGCATAAGAAATTGTGATATTGAAGGGGTGATAGGAGGATATAGGATAGTTGAATAGCTCAGGACAGAAGAGAGGATATTATAACTGCTTAGCACACAATTTAACAAAGGATCGAATTCATTTGACGATCTATTTGACAAGTTGTAGTGTGGTGCTAAGAGTGGCAAGGCTCACTGACGATGCGAACTACAATTTCGGCAAAACGTCTGGGAATGTACCACGTCCACAGTCCGACTTTGGAAATGATGATGCATAGAATGGACTCTGGACTAGGTGCGTTCCTCTAGGTCTTCCTGCCGATATGACCAAGTTGCGAAAACAAGGTATCATTCAGATCACAAAGTGAGGTATAAGATGTAAATAAAAACTCAGCTGGCCACCTTTCTTGCATTTTTGCTTTAAATGATTGTTCTTGAATGATGGTTTCTGATTTTGATGCCTGCCACATGACGGACAAAAGCTCAGCACAGAGTCGTCGGGGTCGTAGGACGGTGATCCGAGGTCTTCTTTACCCAATTCGACAGACAAAAGTCCAAGGCAACCCTCCTTCGCTATCCGATGAGGCTAATCTAGGAATCACCTCGACTCGCCTTCTCAAACGAAATGAAAGATATGCCAGGATGTCATTTGAATTAGAGCTAGATCAGAACTTCGAGTCATGCTACATTATTAAGGTCCAAGCTCCTAAAACTCTGCATATCGTAACTTCCGATACTTCAGAATAAGCGTCAGGGAGACCTGGCAAAACGTACCTAGTTCTGTGTCATCTGCCATAGTATTCGTGATTTCCAGCATTGGACCATTGATTGGGAACATTCCCAAACATTTCGTCGGCATCGTCAGTGAGAGGCGCTATTGTATGAGGTGTATTCACCCTATTCCGTTTAAAGTGATACGTTGCACTTCCATATTTCGAGTCCGGTTGGGATGCTTATAGGATCTAGGTGGTGTTGAAACTGCAGTCCATCCTGGATGAGAACAGCTTTTGGCAAAGTAAGGCAGTGTGAAATTCAGGGAAATCGTGAGGCCAAATCATATTGCCGTGAGAAAATCCAACTACCGGTCACTTTATCACCTTAAATGAAATAAAGTTAATACAACGTATGAAGAACAAGATGGTGTGGCCCCTTGTGTGGTCGCAGTCTCCTTTCTTTGTATAGAAGTTGTTTGACCTTTTCTTCGCAACTCGGACATATTGGTAGGAAGACTTAGAGGAGAGCACCTAGTCCTGAGTCCATTGTATGCATCATCATTTCCAGAGTAGGACCATGGACGTGGTACGTTCTCAGACGTTTAGCCGGCATCGTCAGTGATTATCGCCATTCTTAGCACCATACAGCAATTCGTCAAAGAGACAAGTGAAGTCGATCCTTTGACCAAACGTATGCTAAACAATTGTGGTATTTCCCCTTCTGCCCTGAACTATTCACATTTCCTAAGCGGAAGGAGAGATACCACAACTGTTTAGCAAACGTTTGGTCAAAGGATCGGCTTCACTTGTCTCTTTGACAAGTTGTTGACTGGTGCTAAGAATAGCGAGACTCACTGAGGATGCCGGCGAAACGTCTGCGAATGTACCACGTCCACGGTCCTACTCTGGAAATGATGATGCATAAAATGGACTCCGGACAAGGTGCGTTCCTCTAAGTCTTCCTACCAACATGACCGAGTTGCGAAAACAAAGTCATACAACTTCTAAAGTTAATACATTTCATATAGACGATCTAATGGTAGTCTCGAAAGCTTAGATAAAAAACGAAAATAATTCGTAAATGATGCTCTTTTTCCGCTCTCATGACCTATATCTCTTTGTACACGGCTTCTTAATGGATAGATTTCTTATTTCTTACTAAATTTATCCTCTATTTTTACGTGCTGTATTCCCTCCAGGCCGCACAAGGTTTTGTAGGAATGATAGTTCAGTTTTCCTATAAGCATATGAGTAAAGATTAATTTTCCTTCGGATGACGGGTTTTATCAGGAAAATCAAGAAATTAAAGGGGGATCTTTTTTAGCTCCGATTATGGCGAACAATCAAACTGAGCCATATTTAATAGAATAAGTTTTGAATATATTAAGACCAAGATGTTGGTGCAAAGAGTAGATAGATAGACAAGGACGGAAAGAGGACTGATAATGTAACCGTTTTCGGCAGAACGGTTGTCGAGTGATTGACTTGACTTGTCTCTTTGACGAGTTCGTAGCTTGGTGCGGAGAATGGCAAAGCTCACTGATGATG